AGACAACAGCGGTTATTCTAATTGAATGTCAACCCGCGTATTCTGATTCACTTTTGGTAGAACGTGGGTCTCCAAAACCCGATGTCGTAGGTTCAAATCCTACAAAGCGTGATTTTTTTCTTCTTAGATCGAATTAGAATTAGCTGAGGAGGTAGCTCTGACTGGCAGAAAATGAGCTGACTTCGTCAATCTATCGACAATCACCCAGATGGAGTCAAATCTGCGTCTAGTACGGGGCAATTCGGTTAAAAAATCCATGTTGATTGCTTCCCATTTCCACATAGGTATTGCTATTTCCTGTGTTAATCCACCGGGCTTTTGATGTTCTGCCTTCACCTACTGGAAATTAGGACATTGTGCTACAAATTCTACTATCTCCTTCTTCATTCCCGGCCACCAGTAAATTTCTTTTATTTCGTGGTACATCTTTGTTGAACCTAGATGAAGAGAACAATGGGAATAATGTACCTCTGCCATGATCTGATGGCGGAGTCCTACCACACTCGTAACACAGAGGCGACCCTGTCTGTGGTTTGTTGGGCTCCAGCACACTCGCAAGCGTACGCGGTCGTACAAGTAATACAGTGGCCCTTTTTAAGAGCCGAATGTCGAACCCACAGGGACTGGACCAATTCAACAAATTATGAAGTTCAAGTGTGAGATTAACCTTCCCAAGTGTTGATTATAGAAGTTTTGGGTAATGTATATTTAAGTTTTTGGGTGGTCACAAAACAATCTGGAAACAGTATAAGAAGCAACTAGAGCTAAGACCGGAAAATCATGCAATGTTACACTTTGTAATGGTTCAAGTATGAAATTATCAATTGTTGTCTCACATAGTTGAAAATGCAATGTTCATGGTCTCTCGAGCCTCTAAAAACGACAAACTAGCCTCACAACTACATCGTTGAGCGTGGATGTGACATCCTAGTTCGTGGGCAATTCAACTACATGGATGTGGTTTACGGGGTTTGTGCTCTTGATCAGGGACTTTCGTACCTCTAATCATTTAACCTAACTTAGCTTCAAAACTACTTCTACGAGTGGTGGAGTGAAAATTCTAATCCGGTGTCTTGCTATCATCTCGTGTTATCAACCAAGTAAGGCAATTTAGGTATATTATTTATCCTAATTGCGAATCCTATCGTAAGATAAGAAATTTCCCCCTACATTCTCTTGTTCTATCCTAGGGTTACTCTTTCAAGCTTTTACCTAGTTTAACATATGTATTTTCTTGGTGATCAAGCATAAAAACAACCATACTAAAGAATATAAGACAAAACAACAATTAACAACTCAAACCAAAACGAATTCATGCATTACAATCATATCACGTGGCCTCAACCCTAGAGGAAGGGTTTTAGCCACTCATGTTCGTACAATAACTTAAAAACATCATTAAAGTCGAGTACTTACAATAATAGGTAAAAGAGAATGTAAAATTAGTGAACCCTAGGTGAGTTCTTCACTTCTCCCTTCGCTCCTCTACGGTTTCCAGAAAATATAAGAAAACATAGGACTCAAGGCTTCCAAATCATTCATAAAACGTTCAAAATCATAATCGTATATAAAATTTATCAAAACATAACTTGAGAAAATAACATAACCATAAAAATGAATAAAATATGCGGAACAATGGGAGGACTCTTCATAACCGACACCATCATGGTAGAGCTTTTCATGATGCCCCACTGTCTCGCTCAAGTAGGCAGAGATGACCCTTGCTTGCCAGGCGAGGGTCGTGCATAAGGCGTGATATCACATTTGAGGGAATCATTATCAATATAATGTATAATTAGAAACCCATGGTGGCACGTGGTTATGAGACACCGGCGAGTCATTTGAACGCCGGGCTACTTGGTGCTAGACACGACTCCCAAAAACATGTATATAGGCTCGTACATAAATCATTAACATCATGAATTAAGATTCATTGGCTAGAAAATAACATTCATCATCATTGATCCCCTTTATACATGCTTAGCCAAGAATCAAAGGCCACTTTTCATCGGCCAACATCATAAATCGATAAATCATGAAATTCGTTTCATAAACCGTAATTCATTCTTCAACATGTGGGCATTTCCCAATACTTCATCATATTCAATCCTTTCAAAACAAGCTCATAACATGGGTAACTAGTAAATCATGCTTTTCCATTATCAATAAACTAAAATTATAGAGTATTCATCATAAATCCTAACTTTCATGAACTCTCATCAAATGGGTAAATTGAATTTAAAGGTTTGAAACATGATTGAGAGAAAATAATGATAAAACCTGCCCATCATTCATAATTCAATAATTAAAACTCAATTAAATTATACCCATAAAGAGAAATCACACTTTCATGCAGTTGAGTAAAACCCCATAGACTTGAATAAGAGGATTCATGATTTAAAGTGCAATTGTGCATGGGAGAGGAAGAATTCCACGCATTTTAAAACCCTACATACCTGGGAATGGAGGGACTCAAAGTTCCTTGAACACCCACAAAAAAATTGATGAAAATTTAGGGAAGAAGGACTTGAGTCTCCCAAAAACCTCTCTAATCTTTTGCATGACAATGGGCATGTATAAAGGGCTTAACCCATCTTATTTAACTCAGAAACATATCCAAAATGACGTTGTTTAATCCTTAGGGAGTTAGGAAGTTAGGAAAACACCCTTATTAAAATGCAGGAATTTCTGATCGCCAGTCCCCACGAGGACCTAACGGGTCGTTGCCATAGGGCACGAATTGTGGCCTTGACCCGTTGAGTCCACTAGCCAAACATCCAAGGGAACCCCATGGGTGAGTTCACGAGTTGTGAGCTCAGACCACGACTTGTGGTCACCTTCCGTTGCCTACACTGTCCATCTCAACATGCCAATCCTCCAGGGTTGACCACGGGTGACCTCACGAGTCGTGAGGTCTGACCATGACTCGTGGTAAAGCCCGTGGCCTCCTCACTCAGTCCTTGCCACACCCCTCTGACCACGAGTCACCTCACAACTCATGGTCACTCCTCATGACTCACCTCACGAGTTGTTCTGTGACCTGGTGCGAATTTTAAATTTTTCTCTGTTTCCACTTCCAGGTCCGATCCTTGGGTTCCCAGAGTATAACAACAACCTTGGCTATGCAATCAATGTTAGTATAACATGTATACAAAAAATTCATACCATAATGGAATTAAAATCAACCATTTCAAGCTAAACTATGTCATCTAGGGTCAATCTATCATCTACCATTACTATATAGTTTCGGTAAAATCATCTAGCTAACACAAATTTGCCAATTGGCGTAGAAACAACAAATGGTGTAGATAATAACTCAGGGACTATCTCAAACTGACTTGAAACTAGAGGTATAACATAAGAGAGTGTAGAATCAATATTATGCAAGGTATATACTACATGAGAATGAATAAACAAAACACTTGTAACAACATCAGGTGATGCCTCTTAGTCTTGCCCACCAACCGAAGCATAAAATTGGTTCTGGGTTGCATCGGAGCTAAAAACCTCTCTCCATCTTCCTCTGCCATGGCCTGTTATGGACTGAGGATCCAGTCTAGGGGTCAAACTAAGTAGGATGAAGCATCACTTATCGCTCTAACTGCGCCTGATCTGCCTCGACCTTATTTGGACAATCCCTCATAAAGTGCCCTAGCTACCCACAATGATATCATGTATTCTGTCCCTGATGGCACTGGCCTAACTGATATCTCCTACAATACGGACAAGGCGGCAATGGTAGTCTTTGTGACACCCCAAAATTCACTAAGATCAGACCCGAGGGTTGAATTAGAGAATGATAGGAAAAAATTACACCAGGAACGACTTCTTGTAATGCCTGATTTTAAGCCTCCATTCAAGCCTCCTAGAAACAATGGGTCTATCAATGACTCATTGAATGATCCAATGGGCCTTCGAAATTGGTTATTGGGTGGAGTTCAATAAGGAGTTTAAGATTTGTTTTGGGAAAATGGATGGATACCATGACTCGTTGTGCCGTGTAATGATCCATAGTATGGACCCGTTAGATGAAGTTTGAAATTTTTACAGGTAAGGTAGTGGTGACAACGGATGGAGTGATGACTCATTGTTTCATATGATGACACATATTGATTGATCATTGGTCAAAACATCAACAGAGTATCAGAAGTGCTTCAGATACAACAGATGGATCTAATGAGCCATCGTATCAAACAATGATTCATTGGATGAGTCATTGTAGATGGCAGTTATATTTTCATGCCTTTTCCAGAGGTAGTTTTGTAATTTCCCAAGATCCTAACTCTTTAATGACGTCATTTTACTCCTTGAAATGAGTGTTTTAAGAGGGTTTAGCCTATCCTAAGTAATTAGTCTTCCATGCCTTCATTGAATTGAAATTCCCTTCCAAGATCAAACTTGAATTCTCCTTAGTTTTTTCCCCCAATTCTCTTGGACTTTGAAGACTAGTTTGAAAATTAGTTTACCCAGGTATGTAGGGCAAAAATGGGGGATTTCTTCCACCCTCATGCCCAAGCTTCTTCTCAAATTCATGAACTCAAGTTCTTAATCTAGCGTATTGATTCCTAGGGTTTTAACCCAATTGTATGAAACTACCTATGCTATGTTTATAGGTCTAATCCCCTCATGTTCTAAAGTATGTTTCAAGTCTAATGGGAAGATTTTATCCCCAATTTAATTATAAATTCATGATTTCATGTTATGAGAAATTATGTCCTATTATGTAAGTTTTATGAAATTCAAGCTTATGATCCATGATTTCAAGTATAATGAGTTATCTAGTGTGCATGAATGTTTATAAACTCTCAACTTATGATTCCATGATTTTGAATTATGAAGTCTATTTCAAGTATGCCTAATTTTATGATTTAGGTAAGCCCATACAAGTTAAGTATATTTATTATGATTTAGCTAAGGCTAACAAGATCAATTTACGATATGATTTGGAGGCAAGACTCCCAATGCAGCTTATGATATGAATGGAGTTAAGACTCCTAATATTCAGATTCAAGCTATGTTTTGAGAATATGATTATATGAGCAATATGCATGTTCTGGGAGTAGTGTCTAGCACTGAGTAGGCTTGGGATTTCGAGGTTCCCCGTCCTCGTA